CGTCCGTCCGTCCGTCCGTCCGTCCGTCCGTATGTATGGACGCAAGGATCTCAGAACCTATAAGAGCTAGAGACTGAAATTTTAGATGTAGATGCTCCTAGCTCCCGCGCAGATCGAGTTTGTTTCCGATAATCGATAACTTACTGCGTTTCCAAGCAATCGATAAGAATCGATATCGATATCCTGTTTTTTGTGCAATTTTGGTAAATAATAAGAACTAGACCAAACTAACACCAAACTTGACATATAGCTTCTAAAATAGAATATATATATGAATTTGATGTTGGAAGAAGAGGGTTCAGGGTATCCCCTAGTCGGGAGCTCCCGACTAGAACCTCTTACCTGTTTTATTATGCAAGAAATGAATACAAATTAATGCCAATTTTTTTCGGGCTCTCAATATAAATTGTGCGCGTATATATTTTGAATTGAATTATTCATTACAATTGATATCTATAACTTACGCAGACAGACACACACACACACACACACACACACACACACACTAACACACATATATATGTGATGTGTGCGCATATTGTAATTTAAATCCCAAAATGTAGTTGAATGTGCAAACGTGATGTTGGTTTTGTTTAAATTCATTGTCATTGTCGTCAAATCAATTGTTATTGAGAATTGGTATGTACTTAAGCCAAATAACAACAAATTAGTTAAGCACATACTATCTTTTGTTTATTTATTTTCTTTTGTTATAATATTAAACAATGACACTTTAGCGTAGTTAAGTTTAAGCTGACAGTTGTGACAGTCGCTGCATTGGCTTTTTCCCCCAGAAAGTGGTTTAGTAACATGGCTGGGTATACTCCATTGTTGAATGTAAATATTTAATTCATTTAATTTGAAAGTTTGTTGAATGCTTTGCTTACATTTTAAGCCTTAAATTGCATGTATTATGCTTGCAACTGTTTTCAATCATTTGATTGAAATGAAGCTTTTACTATTTCGATTTGCGTTCCAAATTACATAAAAAAAAACATATCGAAGAGTTTAATCAGTTAGCTGATACTCTCTCATTAGGAGGTCGATTTATTAGGTGAATTCACTTGGAATCGAGGAAACGTGATAGGCTAATGTTCAGGGATTAAAAAAACTATGGACAATGTAAATGGGATTTCTGGTTTTGAAATGCTCAAAATGCGGAATATGTAGCACTGTGATAAATGTGAATCATTAACTAATGCTGTACTTAAATGTGGCTGAATCCATGCGAATGTCCACACAACTAGGCACATTTGTTAATTAAGTGTTGGTACAATTCGATTCCAGCACGATTCCTTGATAAATCGACGTCAATTTGAACAACACATTAAATGCATGCTCACGAATTTCGTTAAGCTCAGTTCTTATGTCTAAACCAAATTGTGATTGTCTATGAACAGCACAAGAGAAACAACTGAATACACTCATAAAACTCGTACTGTACTATATTCGTACTCGTATTTGATATGTACTTGTATATACGTATATTTATATAAATGGAATTGTTATGTATTTACTATTTACTATTTACTATTTACTTGACTTGCCATTTTACTTTCTGCCCATCTGCATTGCACAAGAATATATATATAGTACTATATATCTGGAAATACAACTAACGCAGAGATAAATATTAAAATCTATACAACTGAAAGTATAGATTACAAAAGTAAAGATAATGAACATAAGTACCTTTAAGTACATGGAACTCTCTACACTCGTATTTGAATGACTGACACTGAAGACGTGGTCCTCGAGCTGAAGGCGCTGCTAAACTAATTTAAACTTAAAACTTAAACAACTTGCAACTAAACGTATAAACTGACTAACGATGTTGATATGCATTTGTATTTCTACCCAACTCAATTTACAATGAAGTCATTGCGAATTTATTGTACTCGTAATTGCTGTTTAAATCTATTATATTCGTGAATCGTATTTTGTATAATTAATGCTATGTATTTAACGATAATGTTGCTTTGGCTGCCTTTGTGCTTGTTTTTATGTTGTGCAAAGCCCCCTCGCCCCCGCCTTCCTTTCATGTATGCTGCGAACCTCTTGTGTGTGTGTATGTTTGCGTAGCTATTTGATTTGGTTTCGATTCATTTTATTTTTGCTATACAACACATCTATTGTTATCGTAAGTCATATATTTAAACTTCGAAATGTGCCTTAAAAGTTTAGAGTTTTCGCATTCTGTAGCTGCATACAAATGCGAAAATTATACATATAAATATACTCGATATACAACAGATGCGAGAGAAAGTAAATACTTTTATCAATATATATGTATGTATATTTATGGATAAACGTTAAGTATGCTATAAGTCGAGGAGAGTCCAAGCAAAACTATCCAAATATCCACTCAAGCCCACACACACACACACACTCGCACACACACACACACACACACTCGCCCACCTTCCCATCAACAATTGTACCTTAGTAGTGGTTTTGTAGACAAACACAAACAGAAAAAAAAAACACACTCACACACACACACACCCACCTACACACACATCAGTACCAATAATAACCGTTACTAACTATCGATGTGTAGTTTGCATTTGAAGCGACCGAAACATTTCCACAGCAGATCCCAACCCAAGGAACCCGCGATTTGTAGTCGTATAATGTGTGCATGATCTTGTACCTAGTAACAAATCCCTTAAATCAATCAATCAATAAACAACCAAGTGCCAAGTATTTTAAACATCCTGAAAACAAAACAAAAAATAAAATAAAACCATTAGTCGTTGTCCTTTTATTATTATAAATATTCCATATATACTTGTAATAATCATGTGTATACCCCAGTTTTCTACTCTCCACATACTTATCTCCGGTTCCTTCGTTGTGATCCATGTACGTTTTATATTCGTATTATAATCGGTGTCAGCTACTCTAGCATACATATAACTCAGCCGTATTCAGTATTTATCGGGCTATAGCCGAAATTGCCCTCTTTGTATGATCGTAGTTACAACATTTAACATCTCTCTATAGCTTATATTGAAGATCGAGTCAAAATCAAAAATTGATGGCCTAATTATTTTGCAACAACTTTATTACAGTATCAACTATTCTCCGGACGTAACTAAAATGATTATTGAATTTAAATGAAACTATATTATATATTTTTAAAGCAATTTCGGTCCATTAATTAAACACCAATAATGAACTTATCTTAGCGCTATATGTATACAGTATTTACACAATACAAACATTGTAAACGTCAGCCAAAAAAACAACAAAAGCAACAAAAAAAAAAAAACAAAAACAAAAAGAAATTTCAATTAATTCTAAATGTTATTAGAGAGCAAATTTGATGTCATCCGAGCAACAATTACTTAATTACAACATAAATATTTAAACAATTTATATGTATTTAGAGTACCCAAAATGTGTTAAACACAGTCCAAAAGAAACAAAGAAACACGCTACTAACTCAAAAATTGAAACAAAAGCACACTAAAAATATTTGCTAAATGCAATCAATATATACATATATATACACTATACTCATGCATATATTATATGAAGTTAACTACTATCTAGGCATTGATTCATGTCGATCACATGAATACACTCGAATCTATGGCATACATATTATGCATACATACATATATCCTATACAGAACCATATCAATATTTTTCGAATTATTTAAACTGCAGACATACAAACATGCTACATATCTGTGTAAAGATATATATCAAAATACTCGACAAGATCGGATAACATTTGAAATGCAACTTCCAAAATGACAAAACTATCAAAACTGAAAATGATTTCAATATAAATCATATTTTCTGAGCGCCGCTTTTTCTTTCGTTGATTTGCAATTGAATTCGTCACTTGGAAGTTTGCATTGATAAGGAATAAAATTTATCTACCTACTTATTTGAAGGAAATCGTGTACCTAGAGCGTACCTACTCGACACCAGCCAATTCGAACAGCAGAGCAATCAATATATCCATACTATATCATTGTTATAAAGCATATATAGCACACGATATTTTTCAGCCAAACAAGTTGAACATTGAACACACACGATTTGCGACAAATCTGGACCAAGTGTCATCCATAACCCAACCCCCCAACAATTATACCAAAAATGTTTAGAAAACTGCTACTAAGGTGAATACACACACAGTATCACAGTCTATGCATAGTCTCTATAGTAAGCGCTTATATTTGACGGTCTGTAACTTTAACTACTTGAGTATTGTGCAAGTCAATTTGTATAGTTGATATATATATATAGTACAGCAGAGGGCAGAGTATAATTGATATACATATATCTATATATTATATACATACATTGATTGATCGGCAAACAGATCGTAAAGCACGAAAACTCTTAAAGCTTTAGGAAAACCAAACACAAACAAAAAACAAGAAATGCTTTCAACAGCAGTTTAAACAATTATTATTGTTGTAGTAGATTTAGCATTTAGAATTGATAAAAACCAAAATATATGAATTTATATATAAATATATGTATGTTTACAAGACAACTTTATTATCTAAACAAATTCGTATGATCAGTGCTCTGTGCATCATCCAGCAGAACAACACGAACGGGACAATCAAAATTCTACTGACGCTCTTACTTTATGTATTGAGTTAAACAATATGACGAATTTACGTTGTTGTTGTTGTTATTGTTATTATGTGTTTGTTGATTTGTTGAGTAAACATAAAACAGCAAACAATCAAACTGCATCAAGTCTTAGTTGCTTTTTAGTTATTGTGCATATTTTGTGTTCGGTTTAATGTATTTTATTTGGGGTCTAACAACAAAGCATATCGACATTATTTTCTAGTGTTTAAACGTATAAATATTAGATTAACTTAATTTTAATTAATGTTTATGTAAACAACAAAATAAAAAGGGGAAAACCAAAAGCTCAAACTGGACTGAACATTTAAGAATTATATTATATTGTATTATTATAAACATAATTTAAAAGAAACCAACAAAAAAAAAAAACCAAACCAAACAAAATGTAATATTAAATGGGTATTTATATATGTATGTAAATCTGATTGTATGTTTGTATGATCACTTCAGTTTTTATATGTGTGACACCTTACAAAAGAAAGTGAAAAAAAACCAAAAAAGAAAAACCAAAGGCGTATCAAATCAACTCTGTCTCTTGTGATCTATTGTGATGCTATGAGAGTCCAAGTAGCACTCAACTCTTTTTATGCCTATTGACGTTTTAAACAATACTCTACACTTTTCTATACTCTAGACTATGAAATAAAATTTATTGGCATAACTTGCTTGGGTGTAGCGAGAAATCTTGATAACAATCATGCACAATAAATGATAAATCAGAAGAATTCTTAAGCCAAATTTAAATACTTATATACTCTTTCATATACACTACTTCAAGTAATTGTGTGAAACTAATGAGCCCCTTATTTTAGATTTTAAATGTGCTAACTACTGTTTATACATAGAAATGTACTTAATTATATGAATGTAATTTATCTAAAAACAAAAAAAAACAAATACGTACAATGGACAAGATATACATGATGCAGGCAGTCTATACACCTAAGTAGGATTGAGATTGAGCAACTTTAACAGTTAAAGGATTGTGACAATGTACGCGTACAATTTAACTCGATAAACAATTGAATTTAAATGTTTAATAAATATGTGTGGAAATGAATTCGTTCAATAAGTTTATTTCTAACCACCCTACATCTATTCATCTAAAAATAATGGATCTAAACTGCATTTGTGTGGCTCCGCTTCATAGTTGTACTCTTGGCGATCAAATAAACTCTGTCCCATGCGTCGCGCCACATTATCCGAGTGATCATTGTTGGCCTCATCTATGAGCAGCTGAAAGCGAAATACGGTTAGTATAAATCCAAGAGGATTACTTTCATTTGATATACCTCAATTTCACGGGAAAGAAACGCTTCGCTGGCCGCGCTTAATTTCTTTTGGGGTTGCCCAGTTAGTGCGTTCTCCACAAAGCCGTAAACCTCCCTAAAACGTATACATTAACATTGATGTTTACTGAAGTTTAATTTGCAACTTGCCCCATATTGACGCCACCCAGCTGTGCCGGCTCTGGTTGCGCCTCATTAAGCAGCAGGGCGTTCACCACGGCTGCTGCTTCGTATTCGCACAGCGTTGACAACTCCGCCGATTTCAGGAGCTGCAACCATTGATTGATGTGGCTGAGGCTGACTGAATCACATTCCTGATTGACACGTGTCTCGGCATCCTTATAGGCTCGACATATGTAATCTGCACATAATAATTAGATTATTTGATTTTAAGGAAGCACACTTTTAACGCATACCAATGACATTCTCCTGATTATTTCGTCGTGCCCATGCGGCTGTCTCCAGATTGGCACGCGTACAACCATGTTGTTTCAAGTACTCCAGCACAGCGCGCTTGGCATGCTTTGTTACAATGCAATCTGGTTTGGTTTTGCTTGAATCATCCTCATCAGTCTTAATGGGTATATTTGGGTCCATTTTAATAATTGTAAAACGTTTGCTTATTTGTTGACGAACAGCTGTTGCGCCTGAGAGCTGTCCACTCGTTGAAGTAGCCGTTGCAGCCCTGGTAGTAATTTCACAATTGCACTATGCGACAATGACTGACTTTAACTTTCTTGTTGTTCAATAAATTATAAATTTGCATGATTTCTAGATATAGGCCGGCTATTTTAAAAGACTATTTAAGTCCTTTTTCTCCAATATATATCTTATCTTTTCGAGATTCAGGGGAAAACTAACGTCGGTTCAAAGCCCTACAGTTGTATAAATTGGTTGACTTTACCGTTTTAATTGAAAATGATTTAAAATTATTTTGAAATATACGTCTACAAATGGTCTTGATGAATAGATGAAACGTGCATTGTTAATCAACAACAATGTGCGCTTGCTCATTCTTTCAGTGTATCATGCCATTTAGGTATATTCGCCTATTTTGTTGCCTAGTGTTATTGGCACACATCGAGCAGTGTTAGAATACGAGCGAGAGTGAACGGACGCGCGACGGCACTGCCTTCTGCCACTGCCAGCAGATAATTAACTCCTTTTGTTTCAAAAGAAATGTTATCAAAAAAGCAATAATATTTAGCTAATTTTATTAATATACAACAAAGTGCAATACAAATTTAATAATTTGCTTTTGAAAAAATAAGGATCACAACTGCAATTGCGTCGCTTTAACGTGATCAAAGCGCACACAAAGGAAAACAACGTCAATCCAGTGACTCAAAGTGACTTAAAAGTGACTCATTGCGACTTCCATTGCCATTTCCACTGCCATTGGCACTATCACTGCCTGTTGCGCAGCATCCGCATTGCGTTCAACGAACAAACGAATCAAACTAGAAATAGAGCTTTTTTTCATCATCGTCCCCGACCTCCAGCTGCCATAAAAGGAAGAGATCGTTGCACAGCATGGAGGAAGAGCGAGAGCGAGAGCGAGATCGAGAGGTTGGCATGAAGCAGAAGCATCGCCAGCACATTATGAGAAACATGGACAAGCTGATCAAATACACTAGCTACAAGGATTTGGTGGCGGAAACAGTGCGCAGGGGTTTAATCTCGCCGGTGATGCGTCGGAACATTGAGGATCTGAACGAGAAGGGGCACAACATGACCGAGGAGCAAGTACAGGTGGAGCTGCTTAGAAAGTACTTCGTCAAGATCACAAAACGTGGACCCACTGCCTATGCGGAGCTAATGGCTATCCTACGAAGTCTGGGCTACAGCGAGGCCCTGCGTATACTCGAGGAAATGGACCCACAGGGCAGCGAAATCCCATTCCTCTCCCTGAGTCGTATGCATAGCAACAAGTCCACAGACATTGTAGATACTTGCCTCAGTGACCCACCCGTCGAAATGCCCAGTGTCAGCAACGTGCGTAAGCTTCTCTTGAACCCTTTTCAATTGAAACTGAAATATTTCTTTTTCAGGTATCGGCAATCCACAATGATGCAGATGGTCCGCTGGTGCCCTTTGAGGAGCCCGTCCAGGGCAAACAGCGCATTGTGGTCAAGTCAACACGCATTCATACCGACGACATAACTGGCACATATCCAATGAAATCTCAGCACAATCGTGGCGTACTTCTTATAGTTAACATAATCGATTTCTCGAATCCCGGCTTAAAGCGCAAGGGCGCAGAGGGGGACGGCGACTCGCTTATTGATATCTTTCGTCAGATTGGCTTCAAGATATTCTCGTATAAGAATCTGGATCAGAGGCAGTTCTTCAATACTCTCTCAGCACTCACCAGTTCCCAGTTTGTGCGCGATACGGAATCCTTTGTCATGGTGCTTATGACGCACGGCGAGCGCGCCGGGGAAGTGGACCGAGTGCAGTTTAGCGATGGCTCCCTAGCCGATGTGAAGGCAATCATCAACAGTTTCCGGTCGGATCTGTGCCCCAATTTGGTCCACAAGCCCAAGGTGCTAATATTTCCATTTTGCCGTGGCGATAATCCCGATCATGGCCAGATTTTGCCGAAAATGATGAGAATGCGCATACAAACCGACGGCGTTCCCTTTGACAATGTGCCAACATTGTCGGATATTTTGATTTGCTATGCGAGCACACCCGGCTTCGAGACGCACCGTGATACCGAGGAAGGCAGCTGGTACATTCAGAAGTTCTGCGACACGATGGCCGAGCATGCACACGACAGACCGCTGGAGGATATACTGAAGAAGACGCACTCAATAGTGGGCAACATGCGCACCAAGTATGGCCATTTGCAGACCGGCGTCTTCGAAGGTCTGGGCTTCAATAAGAAGCTATACTTCAATCCAGGATTCTTTGTGTCCGACTAGCCTAGACTGACGAGCACAAATGAGAGCATTCCCAATCGACTGATTTGCATTTTTACTTGTCGTCCCTATTTAAATATGTTGATGTCTATGTTGACATTTCTAGTTGTATTCAATTGTATGTTCGTGTGCTGTCCCCTCCATATCTGCCAGTACGAAATACTCGTATGTATTATTTTTATAAATACAAACTATATTTTGTATAACATAAGTCTATATATTATAAATGTTAACTTAAAACTAGGGCGTCTTATCAGGCCTGAGCTAGACCGCCTACTCGTCGCATTCATCGACCTCCTCCAAATGCGACAGCTGCAATTTGCCAGCTGCGCGAGTTTGACTGCTGCTTTGCTGTTTTTTGGCTTTCCTGGCTGCCTTTTGGCCAATCACATACTCAGGCATCACCAGCTTGGAGCCGCGCAGCTGTGGCTTGTCCAATTCAACGTCGTCCACCTCATTACTCTTGAGTTGCTTGAGATTGCGATTTAATTTGCTTGTCTTTTTGAACTCAATTTTGTGGGCTGAGCCTGTTCCAGCGTCATTCATATCCTCGGTGTCATCTGAGTCTACCTCGCGCTGTGAGTCCATTTGCCTGAGAAAGGATAAGGCTGCTGCCGCGTTCGTCTGATCGGATATGTCCACATCGGAGAGTGAATATTTCTTCCACTTGTGCGGGTTGACCTGGTAGTCGGGCGTCTTTCGCGGCTTTAGGCAACGACCAATGGGCAGCTCTGGCTTCTTAAATATGCTCTCCTTGCCTCGCAGGCGACGCAGCTTTTCGTCCTCGACTTCATTGCCCCCCTCAATGCTACGTCCCTGGCGATAATTCATCACCTGCTTCCTGTTTTTGGTGTTGTTGGCCCGCTCCAAGGCGCTTACAGTGTACGGCTTCGCTCTGCTTTGGTCCAGGGGCGTGCCCTTCAACTCTTTGCTGGCGTCGTCTAGGCATGCAAAAAGTGCATCACGTTTTGCACTAAATTCTTGCATTTTATTGTTTATTTGTGATTAATTTGTTATAATTTAAAATTTGAGCTGCCAACTTGTTTGAGGATGCACAGCTGTTTAAACCGACTGCGCATTCGGCACTTATCAACACTTGTCAGTGCCGGTGTGTAGTTAGTGAAGGAAAAGTGTGCGTGCTCCGCGAAAAACAAATAAATTACTAAGGAATCAAGGTGGATATGTTCATAAATTAACATATAAATGTTTTAGTTGTATTTGCGTGTGGGTATGCATTGTAAGAAGCACTAGCAAGTGTTTTCCATATAAAATAGTAAACTGAATTCAGTCTGAGACTCCATGTGGCTGGGCGCACAGACAGCTTGGGACTCAGGGAAATAGTAGGGCGGATGATTTTATATTATAAGTTTCGATAGATTAATGAAAGATAAGTGAAATGAGCTTTATAATATGCAAATGCTTATCATTTATGCATACTTTTGTAATTTTGTAATAATTTCAATGCCTAGTGTGGGCCGACCGATGCACCCCTGCGTGCAGTGTTGTAAATGTTACACTGACAGCTGCGTGACAGCTGTTTTGTATTTGGAATCGAGTTTTTTTTTGTCAAAACGAGGCGGAAACGTGAACAAGTTTAGTTTTTATATACATATATTTGCTGGGGATTAAATGTGCGCAACCATTTGCATATTTTGGACTGTGATTATTTGTGATATTTAGAATGTCCTTGCAAACGGGTCTGGCATTCATTTTCACAATATTAGCCTCCGTTAGCATTGTAGCTGCCATTATTTTGTTGGGTAAGGCAGCTGGCAGCGAATCAAAATTGGAGCATTCAACGGAACCGACACTAGATATAATATATTCAACTATTTGCAGGCTGGTTTTTGATTTGGAAGGCCTTTCTATCAAAATTTCGTCTGGTGCGCGAACTGTTGGGCCAAGAGGAGCCGGAGGAGCAGCAGCTTGTCGGTGGGGAGCAAAATCAAAACGCACGAGCACGCAAAGCGCGACGTGATTAAATAAACTACACACACACTCACACACATACATATATACCCAAACAAACTCGTAACTGTAACTCGAAGAACCGCCAAGATGAACATACGCTGCGCCAAGCCCGAAGACCTCATGACCATGCAGCACTGCAATCTGCTGTGCCTGCCGGAGAACTATCAGATGAAATACTATTTCTATCACGGCCTGACCTGGCCCCAGCTGAGCTACGTGGCCGAGGATGACAAGGGCGGCATCGTGGGCTATGTGCTGGCGAAAATGGAGGAGCCCGAACCTGGGGAGGAGAGCAAACACGGACACATTACCTCGCTGGCGGTGAAGCGTTCCTATCGTCGCCTTGGCCTGGCCCAGAAGCTGATGAATCAGGCCTCGCAGGCCATGGTCGAGTGCTTCAATGCCCAGTACGTCTCGTTGCACGTACGCAAAAGCAATCGCGCCGCGCTCAATCTCTACACAAACTCGCTCAAGTTCAAGATCATCGAGGTGGAGCCCAAGTACTATGCGGATGGCGAGGATGCCTACGCCATGCGCCGCGATCTGTGCGAATTCGCCGACGATGACAAGCCGAAGATCAAGGAGGGCGGCGACGAGCACTCCTCCGCCGATAACAAACACACACACAGGGGCGGCGCACACAATCACAGCGGTCACGATGGTCATTGCTGTTAAACGGGAAAACCATAAGAAGAGGAGGACAGGAGATCACAATAAAGAAAATGCATGCGGCGGTGTGCATTTCATAGTTGCATTTTTGTGCATTAGGTTTTGTATTTATGTAATAAAGGCATAAAACGCAATTAAATTAAAAGGAAATGACAAAAAGGCGCACAAAGTTTTCCTGCTACATTTATGAAGATGGTATTCCCCTGTATTTGCTTTGGGTTTCTTTGAAAGTTTGGTGCTGGTGCAGCGGAGCGGCAACGTTTC